CTGGCATGTGGTGCTGGGGGATTGAACTGTGGTCCCTGTGCTTTGCTAAGCTTGTTCTAAGTAGGTGCTTTAGACCACTGAGCCATCTCACCAGCCCCTATCTTAACCATTTTAAATATACAGATACAAAATGGTCATTCAGCTATATCCCCTTTTTTGTTTAGTTCCATCATTTAAATATTATAGGTGTGTAAACTCAGCAAAATATTCCAAAATAGTCCAGTAGTCCATAATAGTATTGGGTCTTACACTTGACTGGCAATATCAGAAGTTGTTGACCTGAGTCCCCTATAGCTCACCATAAGAACATGACTTTATGTCTAATAAACTGTATTTTGTACTAGAAGTCATTACCCCGTACACTTTAAAAACCTGAACTGCAAAATATGTGAATTATATCTCAATAAAACCATTTTTAAAATATTTAACAGTGAACAGCAGAAGGAAAGAAGGCTGAGATGTAGAACTTCAGACAGGATTCTGACTCTGGAGGTCTATCTGGCTGTACTGAGTGACCATGGGTCAATGTCTCCCCTGTCTGGGCCTTAGTTCTCCTGGGGTCAGATGACAGAGGACATGGGGGAGCTATGGTGCTGTTGATCGAGGCACGTGGTCACACTCTACACAAGTTGTCTTTGATCGTTTCTGCTCCTTGCTCACCCCATGAAACCAGGGAGGCCTCCAGAGGCTGAATAAACCTCATGGTTCACAGAGGCCTGTGCAGTTACCACTCACAGGCCACATGCTATCAAGTCGCTTTGGGAAAGGCAGAAGGACTCCTCTCCAAAAGGCACCTTTGGGGCCGGCAAGATAGCTCAGTGGAATAAGAGCCTGCTTAGGCAAGCTTGGGGACTGGGATTTGATCCCTGGTGCCACATGCCATGCCGGCCTCGCCCCAGGATGCATTGAGCCCACCACCAAGATGGGCATGCTGGCACATACCTGTAATCCCAGCATTGAGGAGGCTGAAAACAAGATGATCATTACGAGTCTGAACTGCTCATGAGACCCTGTACAAAATACATCAATTAAAAAAATAAAAAAGTGCCCTTCGGCACTATTCTGGGTGAGAAGGAAGCTAGAGGCACCGGTGGAGATCCCAGTTTCCAACTGCATGGTCCCAACTCCATGTCAGCTTCTTGCAAGGTCATCCTGGAGCAGACAGGCAGGCGGACAGACACACAAGCCAACAGAGAGCAAG